AAATCAAGATAGACCACATCTACTGCTTGTAGTATCAGAGTATCAGTACCAGTGCTAATGACAGAATTCAGATTCAGAGAGTAGCTAGGGTTTGTTTGCTTATAAATATTAGATTATAATTCACACATTCAGGATTCCCCTAGAGAACCTGGATTCAGGATGAGGTGAGTGAAACATGTGCAAAGTCTATACAGTCCCATGACTCTTATGTATTTATCAAACAGAAAACTGACACTGTTTTATAATTAGCTGCTTCTGTGAAAGGAAAAAAAACCACCGTATTTCAAAGCACATACGTTTTGTTTCTTAAATCTGTAAGAGAACATTGACAGCTTCAAGTAATCCATCTCCACATTTAAGCCCATAATTGGAGCATGCATTAAAGACTTTCACCAGCAATGCTATTACTCCCCTACTAATACAGGAAAGATAAAGCTTTCAGTAGGACAAAGAAGTGAAACCAAAATGCAAGTTTAGGTCACTAGTCATTTTGTTCTTTGTTCAACTAGTACCAAAAATTCCCCAAAGTTAATAATGTATTCAAGCTTCTGTACTACACTTACATAAAATAATAATTCAAAACACCATTGCTGACCTACTTCACGCAACTTGAAGAAAGGAAGGCAAACTTCCAGTTTCTTCTCCACAAGCTAATTAAGGTTAAGCGCTAGCTTAACAGAAAAGCTGGCACACCCAGGCTCTAAAGAGAAGTTATGGGCCACCAGAAGCAACATGGCAACATTAGCTTATCTACTAAATCCCAAAAAACGCCTTTCCCTTGTACTTAGAAAAAGGCCTGAGTGTTCAGTCAATACTGCCCACGTAGGAGGGGCTGGCATCCAAAATAGCACCGGCTGCCTTGAAAAAAGAACCCATACTGCAACTATGGTACTGCAGGAGAAGATGGGAAGAAGCAACAGTGAAGAGAGACCCCTTCCTCAGCCAAGCCGTGGCTGTTCCTCTGAGCTCAGAAGAGACCAGTAGGGCCTCTGTCTCCCACCCAGCCTCCCTCAGACCCTTTCCTGGCAACAGGCAGTTGAGGACAACAGAAGAGAGAAGTAGTTTTCTGTTTTCTACATTTATACGGTTGTGGAGGAGTTCTAGGGCTTCTTCACAGAAAAACATCAAAAGCTTAGAAGCAGAGCAGACCTGGATCCCATTGCTTCTGCCATCACCACAACAAGTGCCCGTGGAAGGAGTCTTTATTTCTATTAATAGTACCATTAACTCAATATGGAGCTGCTCGTGGGTACATGTGCAAGATATAACCCTAGGTCAACAGCTCCCACCAAAATATCCATTGGGTCATAAAACATGCAACATTAACGGGAATGGCTTTGATTTTAATTGCAATATTATTATATTCTATTATATTTCTTGACCAATCCTTGCCCCTATCCAGTGCATCTACCCTTGAAAAGTCCATCACATCTCAGCAGGCACCAAAAGCGGCATCAGTGGCTCATGCAGTGCTGCCACATGCTTCCCTCTTTCCTTTTCTCCTTGGCACCTCTTGCTACATCCAACTTCAGGAAACAAATCAGGACTGCCTTGGCACAATCTATGACATACCATCTGAAATCATGCTTTAAGGATGAGTGGGGGATAGGGAATTGCTCTCTTTCAGACCTTACTCAAGAAAGACAAAACACAAATAGAAAGAACTATTTCTCCATCGTGCAACTTTTTCTTATGTGCCACCAAGTCAAAATTATTATAAGGACATAATAAAAATTAAAGATCCCTGCATGGAATCATAACTTCTCTTCTACCAGCATGAAAAACATAAAATCTTCTTTCCAATTTGAATATATCAATTACTGTGCTTTGCCCAAGGGGGACAGAGTAGGTTACACAAGGAAGTCACTAAACTCATTACAGTTTAGCATGGATAAGTAGCCATGATTTTATTTTTTTAGATGCTGGCCAATACAGTAGTAGTTTTTTCAATCCCAGACTACAGTGAGTTGAAAACCAGCATTCAGTCAACAGCTTTTTCAGAGTTTTTCTGAAACGACTGCCCTTAATTTTGTCAGTCACCTTCCACAAGTAAGTGTTTGCTTTTGAATAACTCAGTATTTGCAAAACCCACAGGTATTTCCTACAGTAAATATAACAAGGGCCAAAGAAACATTGCACATATGTTGGCAACCTTTTTATTTGAAAGCAAGTTGCTACCTTCAGAAAGGTTGCTACCATGTTCTTATTAACTCCCTACAAGCAGTACATCTGAAAAATGAGATGTGCTTACAACCCACTTGATCCTTTATCGAGTTTCACATTTAGCAATATTCCAAGCTGAGTGATCAGTGTCTTCTCAGGTACTTCAGTAATCTTTTCCCAAGACAAATAAACTATGCAATAATTAATTTATACTTGACTCCTGGGGGAAGGGAGGGACTAATGACAGTGAGGCTAACATGATCCAGCACTAACACATTTAGAATGACCTTCAGATAATGTACATGCTATTCAGCTTATACCTTCTGACTCTGAGGGCCATCGCCTTCATCAGAAATGCCAT